TGTCCTTCTTCAATTCTCGTCAATATGATATATTGCCCAGTGAAATAATTTGATATTCTCAAAATAGAATTCACTCCTGCGTTGTTAATAATTATGAAATTCATTAAAACACCAAACCACCCCGCTTATCATTGAAGTACACTTTGACCCCTAGAAGTATGAGTTCGCGGACTGTACAATTCTTGGTGATTTTGCGTACATAAGCTATCTATGTTTATTTATTTATGCGTTTGTCTCTTTGTCAAACTTGGAAATCTGGAGGTTATGCATGCTAGCCCTTTAATTAATTAATTAATTAGATGAGATGTTAGCAGTCCTCACAAACTGCGATCACTTCACGGGCGACAAGGTAATTTTTATTAATTATACTTGTTAATGATTTTCTTTCAGCTGGTAATCCAGGTCGACCCTTATGCAGCTAGAGCAAGTTGTACAGTACACACAGACGCGTTCTCAGAGGGGGGCCGAAGGGGCCTAGCCTCCCCCTGGATTAGTGAAATGTATGTTTTTCAGGAGATTTAAGGCCTCACTGAAAAGAATACCATATGTCANCCCACCTATAGATTTTAAAAACGGGGACAGTACATCAAATGAATCCAAATTCTAGTGAAATTACATTTTTACAATTTACAATTTTTACTTATATCCTTTTAATCTAATTGTGAAGATTTTTAACATTTCTACACTACAAATTCTATAATTGTTAAAATTGTTAAAAGTTAACTATATAAAGAACGCAATAAAGTTGCAAAGATGAAAAGATGAGAAAATTTGATTTTGAGACAAGTCTTCAGTTTCCATACATTAAATAGGAATTTTGTCTTTATCTGATATTTCTGAAGCGCAAAAAAATTTAGAAAAATGGATTTGTTTAATCCTAGATGTAAAAGCGATTATAAATTTATGAATTCCGTCCAAATCTTAGATTCAAATTAATCATTATAATAATCCCACTACTCACAGGAAGGAGATAATTCATTTAATGTACACTGTCATGTTTTGCGTCTATTCTCTGTATGTTTATATTGTATATACTTATGCCCTAGTTCACATTAATTCAAATAGAAGGGGATTATCCATTTGGCGTACAGTCCAGTTTTGTCTTATATAGTCTGTATTTGTACTGTAATGCTTGCCCTCGCTAGTTAACTGGAATGTTTGTACCGTGTGTCGCATAAAAGTCGGTACGGTATTTCAAATAATTAAACAGAATTTTATAATGCCTTAAAAAAAAGAAATTATAATTAAAATTAAAATTATAATTATAAAAACTTTTTGTTCAGATGGACGAAGCTAAAAAGTGTGTCGATGAACTGGACGTTGACAGGAATAAAATATTTTTTTTACAAAACCAATTCTTTAATAAAGATTTGGATTTCAGAGCAACTTGACTTTGCATACAAATTTTTGTGATTGTGAGGAAATGTTTAAATTCTAACGTTTTTAATTAAAACTTTAAGTCTTGTGCACTCTGCATCATGGGCATAAAGAATATAATTTTAGTATTGTGGTCGGCGTTTATAGCAATACAATGAAGACGACTTTTCTATTTAAGTTTTGATTTCTACCAAGCTGTCAAAGAGCAAGGTTACACATAAACAACAAAGAGAAGCTGTCAATTTAATAGCTTTTCGTTGTTTACTTGTAAACTTGAAAAAACTTGTTAGAAATCAAACCTTTAAGAGAAAAGTCGTCTTCATGTATTGATATAAATGCCGACCAATTTGTTCAAATGTTTGATGTCTTCGTCAATTTCGGAAGATCCAAAAGGAGTCAGACCACAGTTTGAAAAGTTTATTACAATTTTTTTAATATAATCTTTGTCATTTACCAACTATCGGAAATCTATGTTGTCTCTTTATTTCCATGGGACACCCTGTATATCAAGTTTGGGCAGAAGCCCAAAAGAGTTACGGGCATTCCGGGTTGAATTACAAGACAGCTCTGACCAAGCCGCGGCGCTCGGCCCCCTAGCCTGTTCTAGCTGCAGCGCTCGGTCCAGAAAGTGTCTTAACCTGTCCTAACCCTGAAATTCTTGTAATTCAACGCGGCCAGCGCGCGTAACTTCTTTAGGCAACTGCCTCAAGTTTGTAAAATCAGGGTTGCCATCCAGTCACAGAAAAATTTATCATTTTTATAATTTTCTGAGAAAAAAAATATTTTGCAGGGATGGTCGGGTGTCCTATCCAGAGTTCCTTGTGGTCTGGAAATACAAAAAATAAATTTGTGAATTTTCTTCTTCTTATCATTCCGGTTGTTTTTTGGTTCGTGCAGAGAAATGTTTACACAAGGGCGTATACAGAAATAAATCTAGGGGGGCGAAATGTTTTTGCCCCCTCCCCCCCCCAATGAAAAATTCGAACTATAAATTCAAAAGATTTGGCTTCTTGGATATCAGGCATAAGCATAAGATTATTTAAAGTTACACATACAGTCCAACAGTAGTTTGTAATAAAAAGAAAGATTACAAAACGGCGGTGCAGTGATCATAAAGTAAATTAAATTCAATATTAAAAAAATCAAAAAATGGTCTTTTACTACCTCCAAACTCAAGCGTTCGAGGCTTGGCATTTAAAAATAATTGTTTTACTACGCTATCCCTAATAGCGCTCATCCGATTAGGATGAATGTACATTCTAAATAGATTTTTCATTCGGACTTCTGTCATGGTGGCTCTGGTCCAGGTATACAACCTTCTTAGTGCACTGAATGAACATCAACAACTAATTTTTTTATGTTCTTCACTCTTCAGTTTAAGATTTGAAAAGTGTGAAAGCTCCGAGTTCTAGAGGGTGGAAACTGACCCCTTCCCCCCTGTATACGCCCTTGTGTTTACGCATAAATTGTGCAAATAGATGTAGATTAAGTACGCATTTTTTGCGTCCATTTCTGTAGATTAATGTGAAATTGTGAAGTATATGTTAACCATTTGTTTCAAAAATGTTATGCTGGGTTTTTTTCTATTTTGGAATTGTTGGTGTTTTTTGTTATAATGTTAGTCTTATGTCAGATCTGGTGGCATCTGCCCATATTAACAAGCATCCAACTTCAAGTCAATAATCAAGAAAAACATGTTTAGAAAAATAACTTTTCTGTGCCAAAACTGGTTTAAATTCTTATTGCAAATGTTATTATTAAATTCTATGTGCTTCTGCCTTCTGTACTTAGGAATAGTTTGTTTCTAAGTTTTATTTATATATAGATGTGATTTTAATATGAAAATAAAGCATGCATAAATCTTAACTTTAACTTAATTTGGAATCAAATAAAAACACATATAAGATGTTCTCTAAAATATGTTAAGGTTCGAACTTGACCGGGAGCATTTTTAAATTAAGCACATTTTGTTTTTAAATTATATATAGATAGGTAGAGTAGAGTAGAGTAGAGTAGAGCAGAGCAGAGCAGAGCAGAGCAGAGCAGAGCAGAGCAGAGCAGAGCAGAGCAGAGTATTGTCAATGCACACTATAAAGGCTAACCTTTTTAACAAGTGTATTTAATTATGCTTTTAAGGGAGTACTGCTTAACTAGCAGAGTCAAGTAATCATTTGTTACTTTGACTTTGCTATATAAAAATGATATGATCTTATTTCTTATTCATTTGAAAAAAAAGCTTTTCAAGGGTCAAGGGGGTGCTATTTGAAACGCCTCACCACGGAAATGCCTCAAAAAAAACAGTCTAGCACACCGGTCAAGGGGGGGGCTTAAAGTCTGAAAGTGTATTAGACTTAAACTTAAATGACTATGAGTAAATTTTGATGTTGTGTTATATTTAAAAAAATCATCTTTCTAAATTGTCAAGGCTAAAGGCTATTGTAAACATTTAATGTAAAAAAGTTCCGAACTGTATTCAAACTTTGAATTATTTTGGTAAAATATTCTACAGTAAAACCCTTAATAACGAATGCATCGAAGGAATTCATCAAATGTCGTATTCTCCTCTTTCTAATAATGGAATGTTGCAGATATTTAGTTTTTTATTTAAATGATTATATGGAACTCTTTAAAACTGTTCTCGCATATTCATATTTATTTATTTTCGCAAATACTGAAATTTACGTAATATAGTATAAAACTCATTGAAAAATTGTCAAGACGACATTTGATAAATTCTTCCGATGTATTCTTTATAAATGGTTTCACTGTAATTTTGAAATATCAAAGGTTTACACCACTCGATTTAGGGATTAGAATATTTGAGTTTGTGGCAAAAACTCAGTTCCAAATCTAGAGAACATTCGAGACTTAACCTGGCAAACTTATTATCATATTTGATTACTGTAACCTGTTTATCTTCTTTAAAAGAACTTCTGTAAAATCGAAAATGCAATAAGATTATGAATGTAGATCAATCATAAATTCAATAACTTCAGGAGAAAACGTAATTCATTATCTGTTCTTTTCAATGTAGATGCTTTAAATTATACAGTGAAACCCTTAATAACGAATACATCGAAAGAATTCATCAAATGTCGTATTCTTCACTTTCTGATAATGGAATGTTGCAGATATTTAGTTTTTTAATTAATTGATTGTATGGAACTATTTAAAACTGTTCCCGCATATTCATGGGCTAGTTATTTATTTTCGCAAGTACTGAAATTTACTGTCGTCTTTTTCAAGATTTGGATCAGATGAAACTCGTTCATAATAACCCTGAGGCAAAAGCCCAAATTATACACCATCACTTTGGGTAATGTTGATCCGCTCTACTGCCCATCCGTCCTATTGCCCATCCGCAATGCTGCCCATCCGACCTACTGCAACATCTGACCTAAGACATGGGCAGTAGAGCGGATCAACATTACCTATGATGATAATGATTTGCCAAATATTATAATATGTATTTAGTAAACTAATATTTTGATAAATTAATAGCTAGTTTTTCTGTTTAAATTCCATTATTATACAATTTTGATGTTTTTTTCTATATTCTTAAAGTGAATCTGGTCTAAATGTGTAATGTTTTAACCACATAACCTTGGATGTGGTTTAACCGAGAACATCTAAGCCATCTTTTCAACTGTTTTAGTTACAGATGGTCAAAGGAGATATTTTTACAGAGAAAATGTTGAGATGCATTGCAAATGATTGATCCGGGAGAAATCTAGCTAATATCTTATAATCTTATACAGGGTGTCCCACGAAACATGACAATAGCAAGACGACTTGAAAGTCGTCTTTGATATATGAATTTATTTGTGACATTTAGTCTTCTATCTACTTTAACATGTATGATTCTTGAAACAATTATCACATAATTCTCCTAGCCCTGGCATTTCCAAAAAGTGGTCTGCGTTTTTTGTGCTTTCAATATTACCGGAGATATAAAGAGTTTGGTTCAGATTTCAATTTTGTTTAATAAAAGCAAAATTGTCGAAATCTGAACGAAATTGTTCATATCTCGGGCAATATTGAAAGCACAAAAAAGGCAGACCACATTTTGGAAATGGCAGGACCATTATTATGATTATTATCTCTAGAAATTTACTTCTAAAATTAGGTTGATAAATAAACACAGCAAATTATATCAAAAATCAAGACGACATTCAAGTCCTCTTGCATACTGTCATGTTTCGTGGGACACCCTGAATTATAAAATTAAAAGCTTGTTTCTTTGCAAAAATATTTAAAACTGTAAGATTTGATTTAGAAGAAAATTATTGTAGTCTGTGTCAGGCACACTTATTATTAGGTGTGCCCTTCTTTTTAAAGGTTTCATTGTTTCGTTTACGGTTTATCAAAAAAGGCTAATTCGTTTCGTTAACTATTTAAAAATGAGCAGTTTTCGCCGTTTGTTAACGAACTATACCGTTAAGAACTTGTCTTGTTCAACTAACTAAATTTTCCTTGCATTAGATTAATGAACATAATTGATTTCAGACAATGTTAACATGCAGTATACAATACATATGAATATATGGTTTTACATAGTTAAAATCATGAACGTATGATGTTTTCAATATAGGGATGTTTTAGTTTAAAATTATGTTGCTTACTACAACATTTATTACAAATGGGGGGGGGGGGNAAGTGCTGAACAATATTAATCAAACTTCTTCATTTCCAGCAACTCCACATCTTTATAGATTCTATTCTTGGTTTCTTTTGTAATATGAGTACATTTTTCCTTGGTACACTGTTGTAAACCTCATTTGGAAACAGGTGACAGACCTCTCTTTGTTTGTAGTAGCATTTCTGTCCGAGAACCAGTTTAGAAATCTGTTCTGGAATATCACGGCAGGGTTCATGGGGTACAGGGCGACATACAGGAACATTGACAGATTTGCATTCTTATACAGAGATACATTCAGTAAACTCCCTGAGAACCTAATGGCACTTTTCTCCAGGCACATCATGGCATGGCATGGCATTTGCTTTGGAACATCATGGCACACCATCCTAGGAAAATTCTGTCATGCTTGACGAGGTTCATCCCAATCTTTTCCTTAGGAACCTATTTACAGGTCTGTCTAGGTTCATCCCAACACTTTTCTTTAGGCACATCACTGCAATGCATAGAGGTCATTTCAGCACAATGGATAGCAATGCAGATAGGATTGTTTTCAAGGTTGCATCCACTAACATTCTCTGTAGAGCAATCACGGACAGTTTCAGTTTGACATTCTTTGACGCTCTCACTAAGACAGTATTGCACACTTGCTCAAGAACCTGTTTACATTGCTGGGTATTTTTAAATAGCTTGTCAAGTACAATAGATGGCAACACAGAATGCATATATGAAGTGATATTGTTAGACTTTAGTGCTTATCTTTCATTGAAATTAGAGCAATTTTTGTGTTTTTTTTTTCTGTTTTTAAATTTTTCATTTAACGTTCTATTGACTAAATAACGGGGTTGAAACTGATATTGTACATAGATAGCCCTTTAACATTGTAATTGGAAAGTATAACGTTAAAACATATTTCAGAAATGATTAATGATATATTCAGGGTAGTGCTCTGGAAAGGTCTAACCGAGGATAAACCCCCAGATATGGGGGAAATACATGCAACAAGAAAAAAGTATTTTTCTAATGAAATGTCGTCTACTAAGGATAATCAATCTTTTTTCTCAAATGTCGTATTTTCAATTTTTGGGAACACATAAGAAATATATAAAAAGTTTAAAAAGTGCCTTAATTATGAATTTAATGGGAAATAGATATATTATATACAGGGTATCCCCAATAAAATGTACAGTAGGGGTATTGAGGCAACAATTTTGATTAAATTTTCACAATTATGTTAACATTAGAAAGCTCTTTATTTCAGTTATTTCAAGGCATTCTTTTTTATATTACAATAATTTCTTTAAGTATAAAGTATGAGCCAAAAAATCGATTTCCCAGATTTTTCAATTTTCAATTTTTTACATATTATTTTCATTTGTTCATACATAACCAAAAAAATGACAGATTTTAGTCCTTTTTTAAATAAGCTATTGGTCTCATGTTTCTTTATAGGCCAAAATTTTTAATCTACAAAGTGTTTAGTGGGACAAGAGTCAAGACGTATTTTATATTTTAATTTTGCAAATATGGGTGCCTGTGTGATTTGTTTGTATAATTTTTAAACATTTTTAAAATACATTCGGTTTATCAGTTACATTTCACACTATAGTAACTTTGAATATTGATTATTGAGTATAACTTTTTCTACCGTCCGGCATCCATCCATATATTGTTAGTGTTACTAACTGGTGTTGTATTTACATATGTAAGACTTTAATGTAATTCTGGTACCAAATGTTCCGGAAACCGGAAATTTCCGGAACGATTTTCCGGAAAATTTCCGGAACGTTCCGGAATTCCGTAACAATCTGTAATTCCGGAACAACATTGCGGAAATTTCCGTTTTACGGATCATTTCCGTACGTAAACCGTAACCCGGAATTCCGGTGGTAACCCTATATTCTACCCCCTGGGACATCCAGATTTAAATTCCTTAAGAACCAAAATTCTTTAAAAATTGACGAAACTAATTGAAATCCATGTGTTCCCTCAGACACTATTAACCTTTTTGTGAAAATCTGGGTTTTCCAAAAAATAAGAAATCTAAATGTCATCATATGATATGAAATTTCAAACAAAATGAATGATTTAAAATATTTTTGTATTTTCATTATTGTTTTTTTTACTTTTGTTGTTTTGTTGTTGTGTATGACAATATAACGTGTATACTTCAGTCAAACTATTTAGTTTTCAAAGTTACAGAGAAAAAAAAGATTAAAGCCACCAAAGGACAGTTAAAATACTTTATGTAATTTTGAGTAAATATTTTCTACCTATTCCTACAAAGACAACATTTATCTTAGCTGAGTCTTGGAAATCATATCAACTAATTAGAGGACATGTCATCTTTCTTTTTACACATGACACTTGTGACATTGTGCGAAGTTGGTCGATTTTTCTGTTGCCATCTATTGTACTTGACAATCTATTTGGCTATTCTCAACCTTGCACTGGGGATCAGTCGGGATGTTGCACTCCTTCTTCAAGGACTTCCGCACACTATTGCACTCCTTCTAGGGGTTATCATAGCACTTGTTCCTGAACTCAACCTGACACATGTTGTCGGTCAGGGTCTCCAACTGGGTCTCTTGTACCTTGCCACAGTCCTATTCCTGGAAGTTAGAACACTTCATGTATTCAGTCTTACACTCCTTCTCATCTTTAGTAGTACACTTTTCACTATAGTTGGTGGTACACTGCTGTCTGTATCGAGTTTGGCACTTCTGCTTTGGAACATCTAGGCACTTCTGTTCTAGGATGATGGAGGATTTAGGCACTTGTGCTGTGTTGCACTCTTGTTTATACAACTTATGACACTTCTGTTCTTGCCGTACATTTTTTTTCTGTACCTCTTCTTGCTGAATGTTTTCTCTCAGTGTATTTTCTTCATGTACACTTTCTTGCTGTACATTTTCTCTATGTCTACTGGTCAGTCCTCACTGAATTCTGTGGTTCAGATAATCCGCTGTGCTCTTCTTCTGTCTCAGCTATCTCAGTAATCTTTTCACTCATTCTGCTTTCACATTTTCTTTAATTCCCTAGATTCACTGTAGTGCCAATTGTCTCCTGTATCTATGCTGTTTGTGGCTTTGGGATTCACATATGCATCTGTCAGTTTCTTTATCAAGTTAGGAATTTCTCCCATCTTGTTCGTCTCTAATACTGATGTGGAGTATGTTAGGATGTTTAGAAGGCTATTCGCTTTATCATAACTTCTAAACTTCATCACTTCAGCTGTTGCAGAAGAGATTTTTCTGATGATTTCACCTATTTTAAACTTGAACATCAGTGACTCATCAATTTTTCTTTCCTTCTTTAGCAGTATTGGTTTCTCAATTTTTACTAATCTTCTGTTCTCCTCACATGCTGATCTTACAAAAACTTTCTCTGAAACTTGTCAAACATATGTATCGTTAATCCCTCAATGTTTCTCTTGATCTTGATTCTTATCCTGATGCTGTTGTTGATATTCTCTATTAGATATTCTCTTGATCTTGATGTTTCTCTTGATCTTGATGCCTATCTTGATCTTTATGCTTCTCCTGATCTTGATACTTATCTTGCGCTTGATGGTTCTCTTGATATTGATGCTTCTCCTGATCTTGATGCTTCTCAAGCCCCTTGATCTTGATGCTTATTCTCTTGATCTTGATGCTTCTCTTGATTCATGTTGTGTATAATCGATGGTTGATAATGATGTTTCTTGATGCTTATCTTGATCTTGATGCTTATCTTGATCGTGATGCTTCTCCTGATATTAATGCTTCTCTTGATCTTGTTGCTTCTCTTGATATAGATTTTTCTCTTGATCTTGATGCTTCTCTTGATTCATGCTGTGTTTAGGAGACAAATATCTTGCAAACTTCCCCCTCTCCCTAGCTATTTCTGCTGGATCCCCTTCTAGATCTGTTGCAAATGTTATCTTCATTTTTACTTCATCAGTGTCTAGCTGGTATTCTAGGTTCATCTTCTCTGATCTCTTGTTATGGATTACAAATTCTAAGACATCTGTTTTCCCGTAATGGTTCAGATGTAACACCAGAACCAAAAGTTTTCCTGAAATATTTTGATCACTTCCTCTTAACGTTTTTCATACTGGTCTAATATCTTATTTTCATCTATCTGGAACTTTTCATGAATAAACTTCCTCTTTTCTCTTCTCAAGGGTAATCTGATTCTTGTATAGGATTCATCCTTTTGGGTAATTTTTTATCTTCCTCATCAAATTGTAAGCATTTTCCGGAAGTACTAATTCTCAGCCTGCCTCTTGTTCTTCTGGTGGCATTGCTCCTGCAAACCCCTCGTCCTTCCAATCCTCCCATACTTGTTTTTTCACTAATTTAGCACTTCCAGCAGGAATGTGCACTTTCCCTACTACTTCCGAAAAATGATCTAAGGTAGGTGGCTAGGTGGCTCGATAAGGATTTTTTCGGCTTTCTTTCCCATTTCATTTATCTTCTCTTTATTATTATTGATCATTGGGGATGTTGAGTCTATCTCATACCTTACCGGGTTACTCTATCCTGACTTATACTTCAGGATACTAATTTTACTTCTTGTTCTGAGCAGGAAATTGTCACTTCCTATTTCGCTAACTTTTCTGTGTCCAAATTCACTGTGGGATTTAAACCTTTTACCACAATGTATGCATGCATACATTGTACTTGTGTACCATAGACTGCAAAGATATACACTCAGCCAATTCATCTCAAGAAAGCTAGATTCCAAGAGGATTTGGGGTTCATACAGTACACATACTGCAGGATCTGCAGGTTTTTTTTAACTTTGATTTTGGCATATATTGATGCTTTGCCAGCTAAAACATCAATACTTAATGATCTAAGATTTGATGGATATTTTACCCCTAAAATTTTAACAAAAAATTAGAAAGTTAACAAAGAAAGCACTGGAACAATAGCTTGTTTTCAAGAATGCATACACAAACAATCCTAATTTTTCTAAAATTGTACAATTTTCCCCAGCTTGCCTGCTGTTCAGTACACTGAACCTCTTTAAATTTCTACTCTGTGATGTGTTTTCTATGCTGTGCCCACACACGCATTGCTCTTTCCAACATTTTCCCACTTATCATTTCCCAAAATTCAAAGGACACAACACTCCTGTATCTATCTCATTATCCAATTAGAGTTATGAATCCTTCAATGGGTGCTAACAGTAAATGGAAATATTTACCTCTAATGCAACTATAGTGACTAAAGTACCTGTCACTAAATTTCCTGTGTCTTCTAAAGCTAAGCCTATCATACTTTAACAACTTATACCTCACATAAGTTGTTTTAAAGTCTTCCTTTTCTATCTTATTTACATTGTTCAAACTCAGGATTAAATTCTCATTTTTCCTGTGTTCTGGTTTGGATTCATCTTCTTCCGGTCTTTGTATGACTGGCTATCTTTCTTCTGTTGACAAGCTAACCTCTTTTTCGTGAGCCAAGTAAAACCTCCAAACTTGCTTGCCTTGATGGAAGAAGCCAGTCTTTTCCAAGCTTATGAAAACTAAACCAAACCTATCCTACTGAACCTTTGAACCTACTAACCCATCTATCTACCAACACCCTGCTCCCACTGCTCCCACTGAATCCTTCCAAACATCTCATTCCACAAGGAAACTTATCCACAAAAATGGATTCCAAGCAAACAGTCTTCCATCCAAGCAAACAGTCCTACCCTAATCTAGACTGATGGTAATAACCTCATATTGAAACCTCAACTCCGGAATTGAATATTCTTAAAGCTTTGGTCAAAAACAGGTTAATTATCTTTTTCCTTCTCTCAGTCCAGGATTGGTAACAGTTTCCCTCTATTATAATAATTCGTACTGCTCTAGAGATTTAATTAAATTGCTAAAACAATGTTTCCAAAATTTCTTTAAAAACGAATGGTATTCCTTGATCATCAAAGATCGAGCGATCTTCTATTTAACCTATGAAGCTATTTTTCTAAGATTTCGAACTGTTCCGTCGTGTAAAGTAAAATTCTTAAAACAACTTTTCAAAAAATTACAGAAATTCTAGTGTCGCAATTTTGATCGTCAAGAAATTAGCGATCTGTACTTAACCTAAGAAGCTGTAGCTCAATTAAGTTGTACTACATGGTTTCAATTTCTCTTTTTTGAGTTTGAATTGAGTTTAAAACATATCTCTTAAATCAACGCTACCAAATCACTGAAAAGCTATTTTGTCACACATCTCGAATTCGAGCACAAATTTAGTGGTGCCCGTGTTATATTTCCAAAAAATGTAAAGCTTTTTGTTTTAAGGTTTTCCTATCTAAAAGATTTTCTATTTTAAGTCTTCATATCTAAAGTTTTCCTATTTAAAGCCTCCCTATTTAAAGATCTTCTATATAAAGATTTTTTCCTATCTAAGAGGTTTCCATATTTAAAGTATTCCCCCTTAAAGGTTTCCTATTTAAAATTCTCTTAATTAAAATTTTCCTATTTAAATTTTTCCTATTTAAAGTTTTCACATTTAAAGTTTTCATATCTAAAGTTTAACTAAAAATTTACAATTTAATTTACTATTTAAAGTTTTTCTATCCAAAGTTTTTCCTATCCAAAGTCTTACTTAAAGAGTTACTATTTAAGGTTTTCCTATCTTAAGATGTCGTAGTTAAAGTCTTCCTTTTTTACGGTTTCCTATTTAAAGCTTTCCTATCTAAGATTTTTCTTATTTATAGTTTTCTTATTTTAAGTTTCCCTATTTAAAAGCTTTCCTAGTTTTTCTTATCTAAAGTTTTCCTATTTAAAGTTTACCTATCTAAAGGTTTTCTTATCAAAAATTTTCCTATTTAAAGTATTCCCATTTAAAGAATTCCTATCTAAAGGTTTATCCTATCTAAAGTTCTTCCTATCTAAAATATAAATAATGTTTTTAAGTTGGACGTACTACACCGATTCGGATCTGCTGACCTGGTATGGTATCTGGTCCCCACACCGAACCAACGTAACGTGACATTTACGGTAAAAAAGTTTAAAGATGAATTCCTACCTGGAATTAAAAAATAATGCAAAAATAACGAAAATGTGCTTAACGTTGTTATATTTTCAAAAAATGTAAAGCTATTTTTTTAAGGTTTTCCTATCTAAGAGTTTTTCTATTTTAAGTCTCCATATCCAAAGTTTTCCTATTTAAAGCTTCCCTATTTAAAGATCTTCTATATAAAGTTTTTTTTTCCTATCTAAGAGTGTTCCATATTTAAAATATTCCCCCTTAAAATTTCTCCTATCTAAAGTTTCTTTAATTAAAATCTTCCTATTTAAATTTTTCCTACTTAAAGTTTTCACATTAAAAGTTTTCAAATCTAAAGTTCAACTAAAAATTTACTATTTAAAGTTTTTCTATCTAAAGATTTTCCTATCCAAAGTCTTACTTATAGATTTACTATTAAAGGTTTTCCTATCTTAAGATGTCTTAGTTAAAGTCTTCCTCTTTTACGGTTTCCTATTTAAAGCTTCCCTATCTAAGATTTTTCTTATTAAAAGTTCTCTTATTGTAAGTTTCCCTATTTAAAAGCTTTCCTAGTTTTCTTATCTAAAGTTTTCCTATTTAAAGTTTACCTATCTAAAGATTTTTCCATCAAAAATTTTCCTATTTAAAGTTTTCCCATTTAAAGAATTCCTATTTAAAGGTTTATCCTATCTAAAGTTCTTCCTATCTAAAATATAAATAATGTTTTTAAGTTGGACGTACTACACCGATTCAGATCTGCTGACCTGGTATGGTATCTGGTCCCCACACCGAACCAACGTAACGTGACATTAACGACGTACTACAACGATTCGGATCTGCTGACCTGGTATGGTATCTGGTCCCCACCCCGAACCGACGTAACGTGACATTAACGGTAAAAAAGTTTAAAGATGACTCCCTACTTGGAATTAAAAAATAATGCAAAAATAACGAACATGTGCATAATGTTCTCTAAAATTTTTTTTCTGATTTCCAATAAGTTCGTACTGCTCAAGTGTTTAAAAAAAATTTTTCCTTAATGCATGATTCCAAAATTTCTTAATACTCCAATGTTATTCTATCATCGTTAAGGATCGATCGATCTGTACTTTACCGAAAAAGCTGTTTCTCCGGCATTTAAAGTAAACTTCTTAAACAAATATTCCAAAATTATCTGAAATTCTAATTTCACAACCTTGATCGTCAGGAGTTGATCCATCGGTTCTGAACCTAAGAAGCAGTTAGTCTACTATTTCGAACTGCTCCGGCGTGTAAAGTAAATTTTTTAAAAAAAATTCTCTTCCGAATTGTCTGAAATTACAACGTCACAACCATGGTCGTCAAGAATCGATGGATCTGCACTTAACCTAAGAAGCTGATAGTACATTTTTCAAAGAAAAACGTTACTTTTATTATCTATGTACAGGAGAATGCTGAGTACCGGAATGACACACAGCCCTGATATCTAACCCATGAAAACTTCCTCGTCGGAACGGGACAGAAAGATTTCCATCTTCAACACCATCTATTCCTTTCCGATCTCAAGTCAGCCATGTAAACCGTTGTGCATGTTTAACTTTCCATGTTAACTCATGCTCATTTAAAGGTTTGATCTCTATCACGTAGACCGGCAAATTTTACAGTCAAGAAAAGGTTCAACTGATCCATTTCTTAAGCATTTTATAAATTTCAAATTTCTTCTAATTAAAGGAATTATTTTTTTCTCATGCGCACATGTGCTCCTTTTCTGAAAAGTGCTTCCCGTCAATAAATGATAAAATGAACTCGGTGAAGTTCTTAGTATGGGAAAGAAAAAATAAAAATTGTAAACCTCACAGGTTAAACCTTGTCAAAAGTTTCTTTTTATTACTACTGCAAATACAAGGCACAAGAAATCCGCTACTACCTTTTCCGAAACCTGGAAAAATGAATAGTATTTTTATTCCGAGTTTAAACCTTGTAAACCTATCGTTTTGTCTGGAACCTTATTCCTTATTAACTATTGGGATTGCTATATGCTTGAACCTTATCAACTATTTAAATTGATTTGTACCATAACCAACTACTATATGTAAAACCCTTTTTCCCGTAACCCTAAATCCCTCGTAAAATTTTCCTAGCATCTCTGGAACATTTTTATTATACCACTAGCTATAAAGTTATAGCTAATATATATAATTGTAAAAAAATGGCTTTGTCGTATATAGTAACCATGTTAATATCTACATGTAAATTTTGTTAACAGAAATAACTTTACTGAAATAAAAAAATATTTAGTTTTAAAAAAAATTTCTTCTGTTGACAGGTTTTCTTGCTTAAGAAAAAACAATCTCCATTCCTTCATCTTCAGACCTGTCCAAAATTAGTCCGGGCATTGCATTTACTTCCATTTTTTTGTCTTGTCTTCAGCATCTCATCAAAACTATATGTGCTCCTTAGTCCAGCAAGTCTTGAGAAGGAGCTCTGGGGTCTGTATTTTACTTTCTCAGATTTATCAACTGATTAGCCAGCACTGCTTTGATCTTGTTTTTATGTGTAGCTCCTTAAGCATAAAAAACAAGCATGTTTTTTTCAGTTTTGTGCTGTATAATCCCAGGAGCAATGCATTTGTCAAATCTACAAGGCTCCTCTTGGCTGGAGGGTATGCTTGCACCCTTAACCTAAACTTGGCTGTTTGATATTTCCTTCAACAGCTCCATGAAGAATTCTCCTGTCCCATAATTATCATGCTAACCCTGTAGGATACAACAGCACTAGTTCTTGCCTGGCTACTACTATGATGCATGCCAACAGCATCCTTTTTACCATCTTGTTTCCCACTGATGGTAATTTAAATGGGTTTTCAAATTTTTACATCAGTCAAATACCATTTCCAGATTTCCATCATATTTGGGAGAGGTCTTGACAAAGTCTAGTACTCTCCTTTTGTAATTAGTCTCGGCTTTGCTCAGCTCTGCATATGTATCCAGGTTGACTCTTCCAAGTATAACCTCTCCATGCAGCATCTCCATGTATTCTTGAGACCCATCTGTTTGCTTACTCTGCTACAGCATAGCTTTAACTCTTGTAATTTGGTCATGGGTTTCTGGTATCATGTTAGTTTTGCATGTTTATACATATGCCTTACTTTCTTCCTTCCTTTTCAGTGTCTGTAGCTCTTTCCTCAATGCTAAAGTTTCTGCATCCCTAGCACCAGCCTGCAGTTCATCTGCTCCATATTTTGCATTATGGTTTCTCAGTGGGTGAGTGGAGGGTTTCCTCCTGTTGATCAGGTTTTCTCCATATCCAGTTCCATATCTGATTCTTCACTGGGTAAACTAGGGTACCCTCTAAATTTCTCCAATGTTGCAATTTCTTGTTCTGAGGTCCTAACTTGCTGCTGTACTGTTGCCCTAATTTCTCTGAGTGTCAACCATGGTCGGTAAGTACACAAGCTTAGAACAGTGTTCAATCTGCAGTAGTCTACCAGTCTGGGAGTGACCTGCAACAGGGCAGACTTAATCCAAGATCCTTACTACATACTATACTGTTGATCTTGTACTTTATGACAGGAGGATTTGGAAGCACTGTAAACCACATGCATCCAGGATACTGTAAATCCACAACCAGGATCCGTTTATATGAAGGCTACATAAATATACCTCGACAGTAGGAAAGTTTGACAGAAGCTTCATTACTGGGTGGCTGAAACTGATGATCGACCTCTGGAGGGATTATTCAAAATACCCAACATATTCAAAAGGAAAGAAGAATGGATATGAGACAAGACCAATATTATCTTCACCAAACCAGATGGACTAGAGAGATAAGACAAGAGTAAAAAAAAGAAAAAAGTATGAATATAAATTGTGATCACAAGCCCTATTATGATCCACACAGCCATCCCCTTTATAGATTTATAGTTATAACTATAAATCAAATGATGTTTTTTACTTACCTTATTCATTTTATTAAGTTAATTTAACAGCTTTGAAAATTCGAAATTGAAATGGATAGTCTAGGGAACATACTGTATTAATGTACTCCCCTAGAAACCAGCGACGTCGGGGGACCAGTCCCATTAGATCCAGATAGGTTGGGTTAGGTAAGGTTACGTCAGATTACCAAACTGGTCACAATATGACCAGTCCCCTTGGGTTGTGTTAGGTCAGGTTAGGTCGGGTTACGCCAGATTACCAAAATGGTCGGAACATGACCAGTCCCCCTAGGTCGTGTTTGGTCAGGTAAGGTCAGGTTAGGTTGAATAACCTAACTGGTCTCATACTGGTCTTAACCTGACCAATCCACGTAGGTTGGATTTGGTCGAGATTGGTTGAGGTATGTCAGGAGACCTAACTGGTTGAAACATGACCAGTCCCCCTAGGTTGTGTTTAGTTAGGTTAGGTCGGGTTAGGTTAAGTTACCTAACTGGTCTCATACTGGACTTAACCTGACCAATACATGTAGGTCGGATTTGGTTGAGATTGGTTGTGTTATGTTAGGAGACCTAACTGGTCAGAATATGACCAGTCCCCCTAGGTCGTGTTTGGTCAGGTTAGGTCGGGTTAGGTTGAGTTACCTAACTGGTCTCATACTGGTCTTAACCTGATAAATCCACTTAGGTCAGATTTGGTCGAGATTGGTTAAGTTATGTCAGGAGACCTAACTGGTTGGAACATGACCAGTTCCCCTAGGTCGTGTTTGGTCAGGTTAGGTCGGGTTAGGTCGAGTTACTCAACTGGTCTCATACTGGTCTTAACCTGACCAATCCCCTTAAGTCAGATTTGGTCGTGATTGGTTGAGTTATGTCAGGAGACCTAACTGGTCAGAAAATGACCAATTCCCATAGGTTGTGTTTGGTCAGGTTAGGTCAAGTTACCTAACTGGTCTCATACTGGTCTTAACCTGACCAATCCACTTAGGTCAGATTTGGTTGTGATTGGTCGAGTTAAGTCAGGAGACCTGACTGGATTGGGTTGGATTAGGTCAGACTTGGTTGATTTACCTAACTTGTCCTAACTGTTCATAACTTGACCCTTAAGTCAAATTAGGTCTTGCATGGTTGGATTACCAAACTGGTCATAACTGGTTACAACCTAACCAGTGTCCTTAAGTCGGATTTAGGTCGTATTAGGTTGGATTAGGTCCTTCCGAGTTTTGCCACTAGATGTCTCTGTACCTGGTATTTAAATTAAAGCCATTTTTTGGCCTTTAGATGGCTAGAATTTTCAAATATTATAAATTTTTTTTAAATAATTGATATGTAAGATATAAAACCCAAATATTTGAAAAGATAACATTTTTGAAAACTTTGATTTTTATGGAATTAATTGATGTTTTTGGAAAAATCAATGTCAGTAAATTGTGAATTTTGTGATAAATAGAAGTTATTTTCTACAGCATCTGAAGCAGGTATAGGTTAGCATGTGTAAGTATGAATTGATGAATGACTTGAATTTGGATGTTATAATGAGTGTATGGACCTCAAGGGGGGGGGGGGAGGGGGGGCGCTGATTGGGATGGGTAGAGGGGTGCCTAGAGGGGGAGGGGTAGGATTAGCAACACCAGGAGGATGGTCATGGTGTGATACAAGGGGGGGGGGGGGGAAGTGCCGAGTGGGGGGGGGGTCGGGGTAGCAACAACAGAAGGACAGTTATGATGTAAATGTAATACCAGGGGGGGAGGGTTAAAGGGTAGCAATACTAATAGAATAAATTAGGCTCTGTTCAGTGGTTAATAAATAGGATAAATAAATGACTAGTTTGGTCATTTGGACGTCAAAACTTTGGTCATTTGGACGTCAAAAGTTTGGTATTTGGAAGTCAAAAGTTTGGTCATTTGGACGTCCAAAGCTTGACATCATTTAGACTTTGAAAGTTTGGTGGTGAGGACGTATGAAGCTGTGCGTTAAACGTCCTCAACATGTCCTCAACACCTAAAATATGACGTCGCTGGACGTCGCACTGGTAATTATTGACGTCCCCATGATGACCTTATGACGTCCTCTGGTTTCTAGGGCCTACTGCATATCATTTGTGAACATTTACATGATTTGTACACTTTGAACTCCCTTTCAGGCTGAAAGGGACTAACAAAAGTCATACCAAAGGATTGTATTCTATTCTCTTTGGATATTGGTCAGTCTAATTTTTACCTTTACCTTTAGACCAAAATATAGTTAGTTGGATATAGACTCTGATTACTGACAGTTAGATTTACCATTTATGGGTAGAGAGGATAGAGTCTGAGAGTTGTAAGTGTTGGTTGGATAAATACTCTTAGAAAGACTTTTTGGAGTGAGGCATTTGTTTAATACATGTATACAATGTACAATGTATGTACATGTGTAGATTGTAGGTGTGTATATTGTATGTGTGTACATTGTTTGTGTGTACACTGCACTTGTGAACATTGCCTATGTGGACATTATGCATGTGGACATTGCACATGTGGACATTGATCATGTGGACATTGCACATGTGAACATTGCACATGTGGACATTGCACATATGGACATTGCATATGTGGACATTGCATGTGTGGACATTGCATGTGTGGACATTGCATGTGTGGACATTGCATGTGTGGACATTGCATGTGTGGACATTGCACGTGTGGACATTGCACATGTGTACATTGCACATGTGGACAGTGTAAGTGTGGACATTGCACATGTGGACATTGTACATGTGTACATTGTACATGAAGGATAATGATGCAAGTAAACACCATATTTTTTGACTGAACAAACAGATTTTAATGAAACAATTATCCTACTTACTTACTCACCCTTCCTTGAAAACTTCCCTCTTCTACCCTCCTTCCCCACTTCCCTCTTCTATCCTCCTTCCCCACTTCCCTCTTCTATCCTCCTTCCCCACTTTTATATTTCCTCTTCTCCTCACCATTTCCTTCAGAAGAACCGTGGGACTGCACTAGGACTCTCGGAGATATTCATTATGTCAAAAAGGCAGAGAACACCATCATACTAAAGGATTGTTTTTAACATTTTTAATCTATGTTTTATTCATAAGAGATTAACAGTAATTAGCATCTTTAAATCCAACAAAAAGTTTGATTAAAGTTACAGGAACGTTATCGTATCAAGAGCTATATATTTACTTCTCCTTATAATGTGGCAGAACAGTGGCAGAGTGTTTTAAACGGGGTTATTCTGGAATCCTCTCGGAGAATCAGTTTGGATCGATCTTTCTCCGGGCAAGGAACTAGAGGTGTTACATAAGTGAAATATATTGAATATAATATATATATATATATAGAAAGTGAATATATATTTATTAACCCCGTGATAAATTGAACTAGTTAAGAGGATATCATTATATGCATAAGTAGGATTACTATTGTGGATATGTCTATGGTAAGTGGAAACTATGATAATAAAATTGCATTTGGTGCAGATTTCTACAATTTCCGAGTAGACTGCTCAAGTTTTAAATCATAAATATATTATAAACTGATAACACGGACTTCACAGGTTTAAAAGGGATTATAACACAGGGGGCC